AAAAAAAAAGGTGAAAACGCGTTGGTCTTCAAGCGTTTCCGAGCAACTTCTTCGCTTGCATCGAGTCCATGACCTCAAGATCAATTTTGTGCAGTAAGCCTAAGGCTAGTGTTATTAGTGGGTAAGGCTACGTTCATGCCTTGGCTACACGATCACTTTTCGATCATAATAAAATGCTCCGCTGATTATCATAACTGGCCCCCTCCACATCATGATGCAGGGCGGAGGCACAGTGATGATAATCACGATCCCCCTTCCTTCAAACACATGACGTCCTGTCTCTTCCCCTCATCCTCTCGCTTCTCCGGCAGCACCTCCCTTCAATCACCAGGCACGCTAGGGCTGGGCGGACCTCCGCGCGCTTCGAAGGGCTGCACGCACGGGACCCGTCATAACGCCGGCGCGGGGAAACCCAAGAACGCCGGATCTGCTATCACGTGTCCGAGCACATAGTGACGTATGGCGTCGATACGCGCGTGAAACACCTGCAACTCGCGTCGAGACGCTTCCCTTCCGAACGTTCCAACGTATCTGCCTTTATCAAACTCCTTGACCAGATGATACAGGATAGCGTGCGTGATAAGACAAGGGACTCGAAGGGCAGGTGGCTCAGTTCGGCTCCGACCAGATGGGCTAGGAATTTTTCTCTCCGGAAACCAGATATGGGGAAATCAAAGGACCAGTCAGACACACTCCTAATGAAGAGCTGCCTCAGAAGTTTACGATGGTGAATGTGGCAGCTGCCAAAACTGCTTGGAATCTTATACCATTCGGATGTTATCATTTTTCTTCCCTAGCACCAATGGCCACCACTTTTTTTTATACTTTTTTTTTTTTTTAGAAGTAGATTGATGGGTAGACACTACATATTAAAGCCTCAGTCGCTATCAGATACTTTACTGTTCAATTCTTGTATGTTTACAATTACAGTCAATTGCTAATGACCAATATCAACCCTTACTACAGAGAAAGCATTTGAGGCACCATTTTGTGCAAAGGAAAACAAGAGCACCAGTAACATGGTATAGCAAAAATGAATAGGGCTTCGCCCTTGCCCCCCCCCCCTCCTCCCTTTGAAATGCCAATGCTGTGAGCAACAGGAAGTGAGAACAAACCCACAAGGCAGCCAGATTCTGAATGAATCTGGCAGAAGCTGATAAGGTCACATGAATTATAAATGTCTGTTGCTTTGGTCATTCCAATCCATGTGATTCAGGGTCTACATTTAATTAACTCAGAACTTTTCAAATTCATTGTAACTACTAATTAGTGCAAATTTTTGGAGAGACACCCCTCAAAAATCTTTCCTCTCCCAACAAAAAAAATATTGAAAATATCATCACAAAACCAACAGCCAGCAGTAATCAAAGAGAAAGATCAGAGAAATCTCCACAGGAATAAACATGCTCTAAAATTGAGAAAATGGGAAAATACTTGAGCTCAAAGTTTCCAGAAAAAGTCCTTTGTCAATACTTTGTCAAGACAAACTTGGTGGTCCAAATTGAAGAATATATCAATCCTTCAAAAATATTTGAAGTTTAAGCTGACTTTCTTGATAGCAAACCTGAGGCTACAAATCGGAATTTCCCTGGAAGGATATGCAAGTGGACTAAGCGGGCTGCCCACCCAGGCGTCTCTGTTCCTGCAAACCTCGTTCGCAGGTTCGCAAGGTTTTCCTAGCCTGCATATGAGTGGAGTAATACTGAGGTGATTCAATACTCAAAGTCAGCAATGTGCCATAAAATAAATTAGTGCTTCAATCACATAGGATGAATCCTCATATAGGAAACGCTTCAAGTACTCAAATGTAAATGAGGTTGGACAATCCTACTGATGGCCCAAAGAATACTCTAACTAGGAGTTTATATTTGAAGAGTGGAACAGGAACTCCTAATGATGCACAGGAAACTCAAGCAAGGTTTTAAGGTCACAGGGTGAAGTGAGGCAAAGAAAACTAGCCAACTCTTTGGGAAGAAAATGGCTTCACTGAATGCACAAGCTTTTTTCTATTCTACGCTGATGCAATTTTGCTATGGTTAAGAGTTTGACTGTGAATCCATGCCATGACAACATCTCTGAGGCTGACTTTGCCTAATCTTCAATGCACTGAGTTCATACAAGGCAGCTGATGCTTAATATCAGTCCCTTCCTCTCAAATGTCTCTTGTTCTAGTTTAAAAAATCAATTGTTCTCATTCTTCTTGATGCCATGTCCTGCCACTGTACCTATCAACATAATATACTTCATTATTTTCCAAAGTCATATAGGGTCATCTGCTATACTTTTTTTTATGGGCTTTAAATTCTTTACCATTAAAATACCGAAGTACATATTTTCGCAAGAAAAATATTATTTGATTAGACATTCAACTTCAAATTTATATTAATGATCAACTTAATTTAGGCCTAATAGATAGATACTGTCATTATTTGTTGATGACTCAAATACCCTAAGCCAATAATGACATTCTAGCTAAATTGGTGCATCCAATCAGCATGCAGCAATAACTTAAAACTTTATTCACCAACAAAAGGGTTATGCTTTCCAGTGCAAATCCAGCTATCTTCAGTGTCATAATCCACACTATGCTGGCAAAGGCAAGGGTTGCTATCAGAATTTCCATGACTTCTCTTCAGATTCAACTGAATTTCTGAGGATTTGCATAAACAAGGGTCTTGGCCCTTTGAAAATTGTTAAAAGAGATGTCTAACCTGACTCTGACCTTTACACATACTGTTAAAATTGATGAATCTTGAGAGTGTAGCCCTTTTATGATGAATCTTGCATCATAAAAGGGCTATACTCTCAAGCTTCACAGCACATCATTAAGCGATCCAATACTATGAATTTCACAAATGGATCCTTAAAGTTTGACAGATACCTGAAGAGTATATTCAGCTGATGCAGTAGACTTTTCAATCAAGGAAAACTGCAATACCCTTTCTCCAACTTTCACCAACTTATATTCAAAGTACCCAGGGTTCTACCATACAACGTGTCTTGGCCATTAATCCTCTCAACTTCAACAAGTACATGTATACATGCTCTTAACTGTGCTTATCTCTCACAGATGCTCTTCGTGACTATGGAGTGTTCTCCACACATCCCTCTCATGTCCACTGACAACTTAGCCCTATGATTAGAACTACTCGACCAGTATAGGCCCTTCATAAGCTTAACGTCACCGCGAACATCTATGACCATCCCATCGTAGCATGCGAAAAACAGGAATGGGCGTTCATTACGCTACGATGGACCCAAAATATGAAATGGGTCCATTGAACGGGGGAAATGGGTTTGGATTTCCTAGGTCAAGCACTACGTCTACGAATAGGTTTAATATAGAGCTGAAGCACTAATCACAAAGCCAGGTCGACGGCCCAGGCCCACCCCATCCAGCTGCTATTAGTGCTATCGCTCGGCCTGCAGTACTACTCATCTGGTAGCCAGCGGCCATCTTGCGAGGCCGTCGGCTTTACTCCATGAGTTGAGGCCTCCCTTCCATCTGGCGGATGGGTGCGAAAGCTTAGTGTATCATGGGTTCTGGGAAGATACCCTAGATGACTCTGCCAGACTAGGAGGGGGGTTTCCCCCCGAATCGATGTCCAAAACACACGAGGGGCATTATACCATGATTTTCGGTTGTGTACACTACCCAGACCCCTGGAACATATGTCAGGGCATTCATACGAAGAACCGCAGCATCCAAATATGTTCTGCCCAAGAGAGGCATGCGGGGCTGAGTCTGTACGATCCCCCAGGGAAAAGTTTACAATATTACAATCAAGAATCTCTTTCTCTCCGCGGGCAGGACTCTGAATGGAAATCTGTGCCACCTTGATGACGCCCCAAGGCGTCAAATCGACGACCATCATCGTCGCAAGGAATTGGGAAAATAATGCGTGGGTTAATCGGGTTACTCTGTGGCAACGAATTACAATAACGATTACTTTTCGTCTAGGGTAACCTCCATCTGTAATCGGATTACTCTTTCTTTAAATAAATAAAAAAAAGAGTAAGGAGATTGTTCTTCGTCACACTCTCAAAATTTCCCTTTCACTCATAATGTTGCATAATTCATGCACATTTCCATGCGGTGACTTCAGATACATTTTTTAACATCCAGCAACACTGTCACGGCAACTCCATGCGGCCACGCTTTCATTGATGAGTCGAGTCCTCAGACCTTGCCAAAGCCCTAAGGCCTAACTTACCCCAACTGAAGAGCGTTCTAAGAGTAATCTAATTACTGATTACATTTTGAAAGGAGCAATTAGATTCGAGTAAAACATCACTTTTGCCTCAAAGGAACCAGTAATCAGCTTCTGATTCATTTATAGAAGTAATTTTCGGGCAATTCTCAGCGGACCACCGAATAGCCATCGATTCGCCGGAGGATTCGCTTCCGCGACACCCGACTATCACCGAGGTCGAGTCCAGAGCTCAGCGAGATCGATGTCAATCCGAGCGTGGAATGGAATCGGCCCGCCCTTGTTTTTTTTTCTCTTCCCCAGCTTGAATGCGAAATTTTCTTTTTCTTCATCGATTCTTCGTGCGAAGAATTTTAAGTTTTAAGTCTGAGTTAAGTTTAAAGATCAATTTAAGACTAATCCGAGCAGTGCAGTTGGCACGTACGTGAAAAGAATTTGACGCCTAAAACGATTAGAGCCGACAGAAACTCATTAAGAGCTTATTCCATCTGGTCTAGAAGATGCAGATTAAAGGATTAAAAGATTAAGGTGAATCCCGATGTCCTTTGCCGCGATGGAAACTCCTAGTTCGCACTTTCGGCTTCATCGATTAGCGGTCCTATTTATTTGTCCGTGCTCGCATCGCGATTGCGATCGAGCTTGAAATCGCGATACTCTCGCCCCGCTTGCGAACGTTTCGTGAGGATTTCGTGAAGATTTTGAGAGGATTTCGTGAGGGTTTCGTGATGATTTCGTGAGGGTATCTCTGTTTCCGTCACGTCTCAGGCCTTTCGAGTTGGTTCGTGTTTACTAGCCATCACTGTGAACGGTGAAGGCGAGAGAGGATCCTGTCGTGTCGCCTAGCATCGTGTCGTCTAGCATCGTGTCGTCTAGCATCGTGTCGCCTAGCATCGTGTCGACCGCATTTCCCTGCCAGGGGCGTCTTGCAGCCCTTCCACTCTCCACACGATTCCCCAAAAACAAAAAAGTCAACCTGCAACATTCCCTGCCACAGACAAAAAAACGCGATCCGCCCCCGTCCGAAAACGCCGCGTCGATCATGAGGATTGAATGGACCCCATTGAAGCCCCACAAAGGCGTTATCCAGCCATTCAAGCGGGAATCATCGCTCGAGAAAACGAAAAATCATTTCATCGACTCCAAAACCTCATTCCATTTTTTTTTTTTTACCTATTGTTGTCTTCTTGCATTTGTCCATTTGCTTATTAATATTGATATTTATAGATATTATATTACTTATATTTTTGTATTTCAGAGAATCGCGGAGGGAGGCGGCCGCCCTCTTTCTCCCCGGAAATCCCAAAAGACAAAAGGCGATGATGGAGGATGTGGATTAAAGGGATGTGGATTAAATAGATGAGCTTGGAGCCGATCCAAATCCGGATAAAAGCGGATCCATCCATCCCGACGATATCGGCGGAGCGCTCGTTCACCTTTCAGCGGTTGCCAATTTCCGTCGTGCCAAAATTTCCCCGCGGGTTCGCCGGAGGTTTGCAGGGTTGCCCGGGGACAGGGTTGCCCGATCGCGTTCGCGCGATCGCGCAACCCTGGCGAGGGGCAACCCTGCTCGAGCCGCGAAAAGAGCGCCAAATATCGCACTGTAGTGCAAATACGAGCCAATTCCTTGGGCAACCCTCTCGGCAACTCCTTCCTCGTCCCACCTCGTCCCTCCTCGTCCTTCCTCGTCCCACCTCGCGCATAACTTTTCCTCGCAGATTCCCCCCGGAAAATGAGAAAGACTTTGGATGAATTTCCTCCTCCGTCATGATTCCAGAAGCGAGACGAGAAATTTCACGAAAATGTTCGAAAAACTTCAGTAAATGCCGACGATGAAAGACGCAATAAAAAGGGCCAACCTTGATGGTCCGGGCGCTATCGGTGGGGGTGGAGGCGTGATGCTTCTTGATGAAGGACAGGAAGAGATGATGACAAAGGTCTTCAGGGACCTTCACCTCCAGCCACGTATTCATGAACAGCTTGAATCCCTCGTAATCGATCTCCTATTATTAGATCCATACGGCCGTGCTTGGGAATGGGACGACATGAGAACGGGACGATATGGGAACGGGATGACATGGGAACGGGACGATATGGGAATGGGATGACACTCGAAGATGGAATGACTCACCCCATCCCGATTGTATTTGGACAGCGGGCCAGTTCCGTTGAACTCGTCCAGCACGTCCTGCAACTTCTTCGTCGAATCTGTCGAGGGGGGAACGCGGTTATTTTCACCGGTCGGTGAGAGGTGAGAAACGGGGGGAAGGTGGCTTACAGGTGGCGAAGTCTTGGAGCTGCTGAAACTCCGCCGGGGATAGTTTCTCCCATCGGAAACTCATTCTCTTCGATCACCTAGGAACGAAAGGAAGGGAAGCGCTTCCGCTTGCAGGAAACAACGGGATTGCGACGGAACAAAGGGGGACCGAGACGGAAAAAGAGAGAAGACGAGATCGAAAAGAGAGAAGACGAGACCGAAAAGAGAGAAGACGAGACGGAAAAGAGAGAAGACGAGACGAGGAACGTCCGAATGGAGCGTGTGCGGGGCATTTAGAAGGAGCCGGGACCGTAAGAGCCGAGAGGAAAAGACCGAGAAGCATATAATCCGAGGCAAAAGATCTCTTTCATACCCTGCCATTCTTTCCTCCTCATATTTTCTTTCATTCCGCCCCTTTGGGAGTCCTTCTTCGGAACCTTGCTCTCATTCTCCGTCAGATGCTCCTTTTCCCATTCCTTCATCGCTTCCCCATTCTTCCCCGTACGACGCGTCATCTCGTCTCGGTGAATCGAACCATCCGCCTCTCACCTGACCTTGCCTTTCGTCCCTGTCTGGTACCCCCGTCCGGTGCCCCCGTCTGGTGCCCCTGTCTGGTGCCCCTTCCCGGTGCCCCTCACGATTGCGTCAAAGGAGTTCGTGAAGGCGGGAAGCAGATGGCAGTTACTCTTGACCCTTGACCTATGAGGCCAGGAAAGTGTCACCTCCTTCTCCTTCTCGGCCACCATATTGCTCAATCCCATGACATTCCCCATCCTCCGTCCCCCCCTCCCTCCCTCCCTCTCTCCCTTTGCCCCCCTAATGCCCCCCCCTCCCCCCCTCGGGAAAACGGTCTCTCGCACACCCTCTTCGTAATTCGAGTGGCGAGCAATCACGCGATATCCGAGCGATGAAGATTAAGGCGAGTCGTTTCGGTCGTAGACGAAACGGGTGGCCCCCGGGGGATTCATTTTCCCACCGATCCAGACACGCACGAGCCATCAAAAGAAGCATTTTTTATTTTATAGAGATGTCTCGATCCCGATCTGGGTCAGTCTCCATTGTAAAACGGACAGCAGAAGAGAAAGAAAAAAGAGGAATGGAGCCCAAGGACAGCGATTGCGTCACGGAACACAGACAACATGTTGGGCCCCATACGTCATCCCATTCCCCATGCAAAAGGAATAAGGGACATTATGCAAACGAGACGTTGCTAATGCACCTGAGATGAACGGGGCTTCGGGTCCTGAATACCAAAATCCGCCCTCTTTTCTTTCGAGAATGAACCCCGTCTCAGTTAATTACACGGAACAGCATGGTCTTGCGAGGACCCATCCATACAGCAGTAATGAGATTCCGATGCTCGAGAAAGGGCGAGAGCGGGGCAAGAGCGGGGCGAGAGCGGGGCGAGTGCGCCCCTTTCTCGCCCACGGGACCCCAAGAAGCTTCCCGATATGAACCCATGTGAAACATTCATGACTGGATTATCTCCATGGAGAATTCATGGAAACGGGAGGGAAATTACGGGGCTCCTTTGACGTCATTCCACATTTTATCTTCCCCTTTGAGGGAGAGATCGCAAGGGAGCACGATAAGGGGGGGAAGGGGGGGGGGGGCGGGAAGGGGGGGAAGGGGGAGGGGGAAAGGGGGAGGGGGGGGGGGGGAGGGGAAGGCAATTTGAAACAAGATCATGAAGCCGATTAATTATTCATCCCTCCTTGAATATCGATCATCTCGTACCTCGTTGCCGTGACGGAAAGAATTCGTGGGGGTCCTTCCCGGGGAACTTCAAGACGAGGTCCACATGGGATCCATAGAGAGAAGATTGAGAGAGAAGAGAGAAGAGAGAAGAGAGAGAGAGAGAGAGAGAGAGCAGGAGCAAGTAATTTTTTCTTCCTTCTCCCGGCTAATTATAGACTCGTGTCAGGCAATAGATTCCACCCAACGGGGTTCCCATTTCTTCACCCCCTTCCCTCACTCACCGAGATTTGACCCGGGTATTTAAAAAAGGAAGCCCAAGAATTTCATAATTGGCTGTCCCCTCGTCCCTCACTCACCGGTCTCTGCGTCCACATGGAAGAACCTGGAAAACGGAACCGGCACGACCGCAACCTTCGACATCGACACCACCGACACTCGAATTCAGCGAAACGACTCAAACGACATCCCCCTCGTG